GTAGAATTGTACAGTAAGAAAGTTATTTCCCTTAACCAGGAAATTAACGTTCTTAGAATTGACAAGACAGTTGACCCTGAGTGGTCAGCTAAATATCTACAGCGGATCTAAAATATGAATAGTTAATTATAACTAGTTATGGTTAATTATTCATATTTCCTGTCATGAGCTGATTCGTTATAACAGTTATAATTCTAACTGTTGTGTGATATTCAGTGTGACATTTAAAGTTAATGTATTGTTGCTAATATGTTTGTGCTTACTGGTAATGGACAGATTTCACATGTTTACAGTTATGCGTCAAATGTGACATTGATCTTTTTTTGTTTTGTGTCCAAGTGTGAACAGCAAAATTCAACATTTTCAGTTCTGTTCAATTCTAAAAAGGGTACAAACCTATTTCACATTGTACCGTAAATGTAAAAAGGTGGATTGGAATTCAAGCGAATTTAAGTCAGTGTAATTCATCATTCATCATAATTGTGCATGATTCAGGGTAACTGAAAGCAGGTAAACTAAAAATGGTAGCATCTAAATGAATTTGATTTAAATAAAAAAGTACATCAATTTATACAACCAAGCCTATTTTATATAATAAAGCATGTTATTTTTTTATTGTATTTAGAAATATAGAAATATTGCAGGTTACCAGTTTTTGCAGTGTAATTTTTTAAAAATAATTTTTTGATCATAAAATACATTTTGAATTGCACTCTATATATACTGTATTTGTGTATGTGTGTGAAAAGTTAAAATAATAATGCTTACTTTTAAATTAGGAATAATCAAAATGTGATATTTAAAAAAAAAAATTATTATGAGATTTGTTGAAGATAAAATGATATTAATATAAACACGTTGGGATAGATAGGGTGTCTTATGCATATTTAGCTTATTCAGAGTCTCTGATGTGGGCCATATTTAAAGGGTCATGTGAACAGCCTGAACCCAAAATCTGAGGTTGGAATTAAGAAAAAAATATATATATTGAGATTTGACACTTTGGCTTGTACTGTGAATGTAGCCAAAGAAAGAGAATCCATGGTGAATGTTTCATGTCAAAATAACACTAACACTTTTTGGAAATGTTTTCTCAACTGTTGTTTCTATTGTCAGGTATCTTCTGTACTTGCAGCTGAAGAGAGACGTGTACCACGGTAGGCTGTTGTGTCCCTTCGCTGATGCTGCGTATCTTGGAGCCTGTATAGTACAGGGTAAGAATACAATCTCATCTTTAGACAATTTTGCAATCAATCACACTTTTCATTACATTTTCTGATGTAACCAAAGCGTAAGTACTATTTGACATCAGACTCTGTCAGCGGCAGTAACACGGTGTTCCTGAGACATTTTCTTCTGGAAGCTTTTTAACTAATGAACAGTCATATTTCAATCCTCTTTACACATTTCCCTACCCATAAAGCGACCAGCAAAGAGTTTCTGATGGATATGAATCTTATTTAGATCAGGAACAGATGCAAGTTGCAGATACATGGGCTCTTCAGCTTTTCATCTGGTCATTGATGAGTTTTTGTTTGTCTTTTTTTAGCTGAGCTTGGGGACTACGATCCTGAGGAACATCCTGCAGACTACATCAGCGACTTCAAGCTCTTCCCCAAACAGTCCCTCAAACTAGAGCGTAAGATCATGGAGATCCACCAGAATGAGCTGAGGTGAGAGGGGAAAAAAAACACCAAATTTAAGCCACATGCCCACTTTTAGAACAAAATTTAATTGTACACTACCATTCAAAAGTTTGGGATTGGTAAGATTTTTTTATGTTTTTGAAAGAGGTATCTTATGCTCTCAAAGGCTGCATTTATTTGATCAAAAATACAGTAAAAATGTCAAAGCTGAATTTTCAGCATCATTAGGCTTCAGTGTCACATGATCCTTCAGAAATTATTCTAATATGCTGATTTGCTGCTCAAGAAACATTTCTGATTGTAATCAATGTTGAAAACAGTTGTGCTTAATATTTTGTTCTAACAATCTAAGTCTTAAATGTAATTTTTTTGATCAGTTTAACACATCTTTGCTGAATATTATTATTTTTTTACTTTTGAACAGTATTGTATGTGTAACCTTAATAATTTAGAGTATATAGTATTAAAGATTTGGTGTGGCCTAGTTGTAGATCTTATTGTAAAATTGTGTTGTTTGTTTCTGTAGGGGACAGTGTCCTGCCCTCGCCGAGTTAAATCTTCTTCAGAGGGCTCACACACTGGACACATATGGAGTCGACCCACATCCCTGCAAGGTACTGACTCGACCAAAAATATCTGTCATAGTAGTTGAACTTCATTTGCTGCTGAAAAAAAGTAAGAAGCTACACAATGATCAAAGACGTCCATCTAGCAAATTTACATGAACAATTTTTTTAAAAAGGAATGCAATGCAATGGAATGCAAAAACTAATTTTGGTTTTAGCTGAAACATCATGAATCTGAAGCTTAATCTAATTCATTTCAGGATTTCACAGGATCCACAGCCTTCCTGGGATTCACTGCAAGAGGGTTTGTGGTTTTCCAGGGAAATAAGCGGATCCACCTTTTAAAATGGTAACCATATTATCGTTTTTTTTTTATATATCTTCACTTTTTCTCAGATTCACTTGCCATCACTACCTTACCTTACTCTGTGTAGTTTTCACAGACAAAAAAGGCTGACTGTTGGTTGTCATTAGTGTAGCAAGCACAGCTCAAACAAAAGTCACTTTTAAACCAATCAGCTTTATGTTGGTCAATGCAACGAATCCGTAAAATCCTTGAACATGCTGCGAAATCACCATAGGGAAATATTTTCACCTGGCACAAAATTTGGTTGGTTTTGTGGATTCCTATTGAAATAACTGGATTTTGTATGCAACAGTTTGGTGAACAACAGTCAAATTGACCTCACCATAAGTCTAGTGTCCACTTTGTAGCTTATTCTGGAAAAAAACTAAAACAAAGTGCTAGTTTACCCAAAAATGAAAATTATGTAATTAATTACTCACCCTCATGTCGTTCCAAACCTGTAAGACCTTCATTCATCTTCAGAACACAAATTAAAATATTTTTGATGAAATCCATGAGCTTTCTGACCCTCCACAGACAGAAATACAACTGAAATGTTCCCAGACGCAGAAAGGTAGTAAGGACATCGGTAAAACAGTCCATGTGACATCAGTGGCTCAACCGTAATTTTATGAAGCTACTAGAATAATTTTGGGCAAAGAAAACAAAAACAAAAATGTGTGTCAAGGACTAATGTGGAAGAGAACAAATTGTTGAATTTATTTTTCAACAATTTAGAATTTATTTTCATTATTTTCTTTGAGCACAAAAGTTTTCTTCGTCACTTCATAATATCACGGTTGAAACTCTGATGTCACATGGACTATTTTAATGATGTCCTTACTATCTTTCTGGGCCTTGAACGTGTCAGTTGCGTTGCTGTCTCTATGCAGGGTCAGAAAGCTCTCGGATTTCATCAAAAATACCTTAATTTGTTTTCTGAAGATGAATGAAGGTCTTACGTCAGGTGTCACCAAACTTGATTCTGGAGGGCTGGGGTCTTGCAGAGCTTAGCTCCAAATTGCCTCAACACACCTGCCTGGAAGTTTCAAGTATACCTAGTAAGACCTTGATTAGCTGCTTCAGGTGTGTTCAATTAGGGTTGGAGCTAAACTCTGCAGGACACCGGCTTTCCAGGACTGAGTCTGGTGAACCCTGTCTTATGGGTTTGGAACGACATGAGGGTGAGTAATTAATGACAGAATTATAATATTTTTTGGTGAACTATCCCTTTAAGTCCTTATTGTCACCATGGATGATAACTATAACTGTAAAATTATAATAATTGTTCTAATTTTGTGAGTAATGATAACAATAACAACACAGAAAACAACACTTTCAGAATTATTATTTCTAGCTGATCAGAATCCACCCAACTTTAAACGAGCTTGAGCATTATAAGCGACAATAATAATAAACAGAAGTTACCTCTCTATTGGTGTATAGTTATTCTGATAGTTGCCATTTTTGGTGTAGGGGTATGTAAAGTCCCGTTCACACCAATAACTACACTGAACAAAATTATAAACGCAACACTTTTGTTTTTGCCCCCATTTTTCATGAGCTGAACTCAAAGATCTAAGACTTTTCTATGTACACAAAAGGCCTATTTCTCTCAAATATTGTTCACAAATCTGTCTAAATCTGTGTTAGTGAGCACTTCTCCTTTGCCGAGATAATCCATCCACCTCACAGGTGTGGCATATCAAGATGCTGATTAGACAGCATGATTATTGCACAGGTGTGCCTTAGGCTGGCCACAATAAAAGGCCACTCTAAAATGTGCAGTTTTATCACACAGCACAATGCCACAGATGTCGCAAGTTTTGAGGGAGTGTGCAATTGGCATGCTGACTGCAGGAATGTCCACCAGAGCTGTTGCCCGTGAATTGAATGTTCATTTCTCTACCATAAGCCATCTCCAAAGGTATTTTAGAGAATTTGGCAGTACATCCAACCGGCCTCACAACCGCAGACCACGTGTAACCACACCAGCCCAGGACCTCCACATCCAGCATCTTCCCCTCCAAGATCGTCTGAAATCAGCCACCCGGACAGCTGCTGCAACAATCGGTTTGCATAACCAAAGAATTTCTGCACAAACTGTCAGAAACCGTCTCAGGGAAGCTCATCTGCATGCTCGTCGTCCTCATCGGGGTCTAGACCTGACTGCAGTTCGTCGTCGTAACCGACTTGAGTGGGCAAATGCTCACATTCGATGGCATCTGGCACTTTGGAGAGGTGTTCTCTTCACGGATGAATCCTGGTTTTCACTGTACAGGCCAGATGGCAGACAGCGTGTATGGCGTCGTGTGGGTGAGCGGTTTGCTGATGTCAACGTTGTGGATCGAATGGCCCATGGTGGCAGTGGGGTTATGGTATGGGCAGGCATATGTTATGGACAACGAACACCATAACATTAAAAATATATATATATATATAGTATAATATATCAAGGATGTCTTGCCATTAAGCATCTCCAATGAAAGTCTTGAATATCTTCTAAAAATCTGATGCAATAACCTTGCAAATTGAGTAGCAACGAGGATCTGTTCTTCCTCAAAATCAGCTTGAGAGCTTGTAAATAAAACTGTTTCCCGACAGACAGTTGAAAGCCTGTGCGCTGTGACTCACAGACATTATGTAAGGCCAGTTGATCAGCGGATGGGTGAGCGGTCTGTGGGTGCTCCTGATCTATATGACATATGAGGTTTTGTATGGTTGTTAACACCATCTCACAGTCAACAAGCAGATGAATGCTTTTGAAGAGGTTCCCTCTCATAGGGTTAGAGTGTCTGTTGACATGAACCTTTTACATCGAACGCCTCATTTGTAACTTTAATTTGTATCCCTCACTCTTGCAGGGCAGATGTCAGCAAATTTAAGTTTGAAGGGAAAACGTTTTATGTGATTGGAGTGCAAAGAGAGGTAAGATACATTATCTTTTTAAAACGCTCATTCATTTTAGTCATATGGTTCATAATGCATTTACCCACCATGTAATACCAATGAAACCTGACCTAAAAGCATTCAGATTATCATTATGCTGTACATTACATCATGAGGACATTAAAAACTCAATTTTATGTTATCTTACATTCATTTGAGAGCTTTGGTAAACTCACTGGCATTGTCCTATATATTTATTAACATTCCCATGCCCCTATTCTTCATTCTACAATAATAAATAGCTGAAAACATCATTTAAATAATTCATAAAGAATAAAGCCTATTAAACAGGGTGACCATACATCCTCTTTTTACCCACGTGTGTCCTAGCCGGGATTTCTGAAAATTAAATGTCCTGGTTTTGGCTTTGTTTTCCTACTGACGGATTCTTTACAGTCCTCATACATTATATGTACGTGTGCATACATTGCTTTAACAGTTCTCTGTAGATCATGCCTTATCGTACACTGTGATTGTTCGATTATGTATAATGCCTGCACACTAGGGCTGTCACTAACAATTATTTTGGTAATCGAGTAATCAGTCGATTATTCTGACAAATAATCTAGTAATCAGATTACTATAGTTAATTTTTTGTAGTAATAAAAATAGACCTAAGCAAACAGTAGCATTTAAAATTACCGTATTGGCCCGAATATAAGACGACCCCCCCCTTTCTCCAGATGTACCTTTTGGAAAAAGGCTTTTTAAAAACCAAATCTTGTTTTTTCTCGGTAAAACACATTTTGTCTTCAATTATTTTCATATTGCATATTCTTCCTATTTTAATTTTTGTTTTGAAAGTATGGTAAAAACTGGTCAAATGTACCAACAATCACATTTAAAAAATATACACTTTTTGATATACCATTAAATAAATAAAAAAACAGGTAGCCCATCTGAATTAGGACATTTAGGCTATCCATCTAATAGTAGCCTACCAAAATCTTATTAACAGTAGAAGGTAAATCTTACTGTAGTCTTCAAATCTGGGTACTGTCTTACGTTTTAAAATCACAAAGAGAGTTTGGTCCCATCAGGCTAACGTGACAGTCACGACTCATGCAGCTGTAAGGTTTTCTTTTTCTTTTGATATTACTCGCGATCTTTACAACACGCGTTACATTACGTATTTCATGGCACACTCGTTTTATGCGTATTTGGCGCCACCTATTGTTGTGGATGTATTATTGACATGTCAAAGTCTAGACCCTGAATATAAGATGACCGCGTTTTTTCAGATGACCAGATATATTCTGGTCAATACGGTACTTAAAATATATATATAATAGCAATGAGGCAATAATAATTAGTTCAAATAAAGTATCCAAAGCAAGTAATCATATGGTTTTATTGAACAAAACTGTTAAAATACATAATGTGTTATAAACAATAGAGCTAACGTACATTACGCATTATAACAAATGCCTGCAGGGGGCGCCAACGGCCTGACGATTGTTTTTACACTTTACAGCGCAATCTAATCCTTGTTTAATATTGACTAAACAACATTTCATTAAAATGTCTACTTTATCTTTGATATTTGGCCATTTCTTGACGACAGAAATGCTACAGCTACTGTGACTTCTTGAATATGTGGATATCAAAACGTGTAAACTCAGAGTGAGAGTTTGAGCTTTTATTTCAAGTCAAGTCAAGTCAAGTCTGCTTTATTGTCAATTCTTCCACATGTACAGCACATACACACAGAGAATTGAAATTGCGTTACTCTCAGACCCTTGGTGCATACAGATAACATAAATACAGATAGGTACAGATTAAATACAAAATACAAAATACAACTATACAAATATACAAATAAGGTAAAACGTAAAAATATATCTATATATATAAAGCACAAGGCATATGGCAGATAGAGTGCAAACCAGTAAAAGTAAAACAGTGCAGATATAGTGATTGTAGTG